TAGCCCATACATGGAGGTCCCACGGCCGTCAATACTAGACGTTCATTAGACGTCAAAAAAAGACGTCGCCTGGCGTTACAAAACAACCCCTTCAGTGGACCAAAATTGGACGTCCAAAAACGACATATTAAAGATGTCATTCCGACGTCACTATGCGCAGTGGGTGTGGTCCCATCGCCATGCCTTATATGAATCTGCACAGAAGCGGGAACCATACTTTCTTGAGCCAGAGAACAATTTTTTATTTTTTATTTTTTGGATTGGGTATGCCAACCAAGCCGGTTAGTGCATCACAGGTAATGATAGCGGATTATGCAATAAAAAAAGACTAAACCCAATATTTTCTGATGAGTTTGAATAGCATTGTGCATAATTGTTAAATAGTCAATAAAATGCATTAGCATGCGTCATATTTTTAACATGAACAGAGAGGTGCTGTATTGTTTGATACAGTCTATAATAATTTAAGCGACTTACTATAGATAACAGATAAAAATAAAACACCACACAGAAGTACAATCAACTAAAGCTTACTGTGATCAGTGTAACTGTGATCTGCTGTATGGTGTCTAGTAGCCAGCTCTGTCAGGATCTGTGCCCCCCCCGCACACACACACACACACATTTAAAATCTTCTAGCCACACCCCTAGGTCTAAAGTATAATTGCATAATTAACATTCAAATTTCTTCGTATGATATATTATAGAAATTCAAATGAGTTTCGCGTCCCTAATTAACTAGCTGTACCTTCTGAAGAGTAGCACTTCGTCTCTATAACTCCCTCATCCCTTCTGTCAGGCAGCACCTCTCTCTCCATCCTCAGATCTCACCTCAAAGCTTTTCTGTTCTCCTCCACCTACTAGCTTCGTATCCCTACCCCAATTTAGCATTCCCACTACATTTTTCCTATCTATTATAAGTGGCATTGAGTCTTACATAGTGCTTTATAAATTACAAAATTATTAATCCATTCCTGCAGATGTAGTTTCCAATTGAGGACATCTAGCTGTGGCCTGAACATTGGATCACATTGCATTTTTATGTATCTTCTCAAAATAGAATTTAGAGATCATTGCTGATACACCACAACAAAATGTGTCCTCTGCATTTAACCCGTATGTGACATCATGACATAGTAGGGGGCAGCTAATTCAGCACCCAGGGAGCAGTGCTTGGGGGCGGTACCTTGCTTTTGCTGTGCTTATTTCCATAAAACATTGCTCAAATGAAAACTTAAAATGCACACATTGTTAAAAGCTTGAACATTATTTAAGGTTTATATGGTCACGTTGCTAAACAAGTAAGGAAAACTGAATGTGTCTTGCAAAACAACAGCTATTATGCATCATTTTAAAAATAATCCATATCCTTAGGTGTGATCGCTCAAATTATTTTTTAAGTCTTCTGCCTGTTTCACCCAGTTGGATATTACTCTTCCTATGAAGTAAAACTGGTGGTAACACTACTTATGATTAACATTTGATCTTTTTTCATCTTTGTCAAGGAGAAATGTATGTTGCTATATGGGAGCCATGCTAATTTTTCTAGGAATTGACTTGGAATATTTGAAGATTACAGGATCTGATGACCACAGAGTTCAGTGCCCAGTGGGCAGTGTGCATTTTAAAACTGAGTTTTGCTGCCACTGAAGTTTGAAAAACCAGACCCCTGGCTACCTTATAGCCATACATTTCCAGTCTCCTCTGACATTCTATGTGATGAGAATTCACACCTCCCAAACCACCCTGTCTACCTTCTAGATTTGCACAAACTGCTCTTTATCTTCTTTAGCCTGTCTGATGAATGCACAGTGCTGTTTCTGCTAACAGTATTGGCTTTCTGAGCGGATACTGAAGGCTATTTGCACAACAGCCCCTCCCCCCCATTGAATGACATCCTTATCGTGGTGAAGCCTCCATGATCCTAGGAGCTATGTTGTCAGGGGCAATAACCCATGGTAGAGTCTCCCAAGGCAAATTTGTCTTAGGTGAGTGGCCAGACTAAGTGCAGTTCAAACAGACTCCCATAAGAGGTAATATTAAGGACTATGTTTTTGGGGGATTGTGCATATTTGTTAGTCAATTAATTGGGGAGACCGGGGTCTCTCCATTTTGATAGAAAGGCCAATGCGCAGAAACAGACCTATTTATAATCCACATGATCGCCGTTACTACCATGAAAATAATTTTTACACTTTAAAGTTATTTTTTATATTTTACTTTTATAAATTATTCAAATACTTTCATTTTATGAACTATAGAATGAACAAAACTGCTATAACCGATTATTTTGAACAAACTAACATTACTCAAATGTGCGTACGAATGGTCTTGAGTGTGCGTAGATTCTGTTCTTAGCTAAGAACAAATTCAGATAAGAAAACATTGGTGAATGTCAGAATCTTCATTAAAAAAGTGCGTACGTGGGGTTTAAGAACAAATTTGTTCGTAAGAACGGTTGGTGAATGAGGCCCATTGACTGTTAAAAACCACTTAACGTTTGTCAAGAACACAGATAAACGATTCAGAGTAGGCACTCGATGTCCCCTCTTAACGCGGCTCCATCGCTGGGCTGCAGTGGGGGTTCTCCAACACATGGGGATTCTTGGAAGTCTTGTTTTCCATTTTCACATTTTGCAGGTGATTTTCTGTTTCAGTTCTTGAGTTCACTGCAATAATTGGATGGGATCCGCACTCCCCGACCCATTGAAGATTATTCAAATGGAAAAACTTACATTAGTGGCCAAAATCGTGGAAACACTTCCAATTTTTAGAGATTGCAGAACTTAATTCAACTGTTGCTCGTTATTTAACCGTCCAATGTATGTTACTTGTAACATTCTTTGTTTATAAACATTACTGCCAATATTCGTGTAGTAATTTTTAAAGCGTTATGCCAAAAATGCTACGTGTTTCTACAATTCTGGCCAGTATTGTAACTTGAGACACATCATACAAATTAGTAGTGCACATTTGTGAACCACTGCTATTGACAGTTTACACCATGTTTTAAAATCAATTTTAAACCACCAGGGCTTCCGATCGATCATTTTTCCAAGACTAAAAAAACGATCAACACCACTAATCAGTGCCCCCACTTACTATCAGCAGGTTTTAATGCCATCTCTTTAGCAGATTGGTCCATATAGTTTTTCATATTTTTTTCACGTTTTTTTGTTTTTGCGTGTGTGTGCTGGACGACTCTGGGCGATTTTGTTTATCCCAATAATTTCAAACTAAAATCACTTTTTTTTAAGATATCACCCAGGCCTGCTGTTTTTATTGATGGACTTTGGCCGTCCTTCACAGGACTCATTTATGGACTTTGTTTTCATTCTTAATCACAGCTTAGGTACCTTTTAGCAAGCATGAACACTCTTTTCTGTATTCAGTAATGTTAGCATGCTCAGGGGGGTTGAGCAGCCAGTTGACCTTGGGCCCCCAGAAGTTTAATTTCTTGACTTCTTTTTTCCTGTTATGTATCTCTTTCTATTGATGTTTTATATATCACAACACATCCATATAAAGCGCTTTGGGACAACACAGTTGTGAAAGGTGCTATATAAAAATAAATTAAATTGAACAGAATTTAATTTTTTCTATTCAAAACAACGGACATATCCACAGTAGTTGGGTATTGACATTTTTGGGGGGATAACCTTGCCTTTATTTACATGTTTTTTTTGCATTCTGAAAATAAAAGCTAAGTATGCTGATCACACAACTGAAGCATCTACACTCCCCCCCCCCCCCCCCCCCCACCACCACCCCGAAACCCAACCTAAGAAGGGGGAAAGGGGCACTTTCAAATGTGTAAGGCTACAGTAGGTATAGAGCTACATGGAGCTCCTTGAGATTGCCCTCCAGCAAACAGGTTTAATGGTGGCAGCTGGGGTCCTTTGAGACAAGTGGCCACAGTTTTGCCCGAAAGAGGGAAGTCGGCAGTCCAAGGAGGTCAGTTGGCAGTGCCTTCATCTTGAAGGACTAAGGTGACTCTTCCCAGTATCTCAGAGGGGGCTTTGCGACACATCGGGGTTGTGAAACCCCACTCCATTCATCTTTGATGGGGGTCATCTGGTGCCTCTCCCACTCGCCGTATCTGCGCTGTGGGGGGTCTCACCAGGCCATGCCTTCAACGAGGAGCCCAGTCCAAGCAGTGGGCCAGAACTCCAGGTCACTGTGGAGCACAGACAATGAAACTGAGTGAGAGAGATGCCAATCAGTTCGTGTCAAATGGGGGAAGAAACCCCCAGGGACCCCAAGGTCAGAACCGGCAAGGAGTGATCGCGCGCACGTGTGTCGGAGGGCCGCCTGTGGAATCTCATCAAAACAGGGAAACACCAAACATAAAAACAAAATGGCTCCCGGTCCAACATCACACAAGATGTTAACTTAAGATGTTAAGTGGTGTCTGTCTGATTAAGGATCAGGCTGATTTCAAAGCCCACACGGGCTGTAATGGCCACTAGGTGACAGATGCGAGATGCTGTGGCCTGCACTTAATCTCATCTCAAACCCAGGGATCGTGGTCCGCCCACTGAGGATACAAACACACACAGATGTTCTCCCATATAATCTGAGCAGTACAATCATAAAGACCGGACTAGTTGCTAAGGAACTACCTCCTGCAAGTGAAATAATGCAGTGGAACTTTACATTATTCTAATGGTGGTTTTATTAAGAAAAACAAAAATCAAAACTGAAATCCCACAATCTAATTAAAAGAATCTGAGGCTGAGTGATGGCTCAGCCTCACAGACTCGGAGGAAATGGACCATTATGCGAAATTCCCTGCAGTGTTCATTAAGGGAATGAAGGTCATTAAGGCTGTCAAAGAGGCCGGCAACACTCATCAACACGTGTCACATTCCACGCAGATTATAATTGTATAAGCAACACAAAGCTGAGGCCCACTAGTCCTCGGTAGACTTTGCCAATGGAGGAGTAGTTTGTGGAGCAGGGGCAGGATGGAATGCCAGCATGGTCCAGATTAAACTGAGTTCTGGTCCACCTAGTACCCTGGCTTAGACGGTAAATCCAGGAATGGTGCACAGACAGGCCATCGACTGCGAGTCCACATTAAAGCACCTGTCGAAGAGAAATGTTTATTGAAAGACACTTAAAATGATCACAAGAAGCAGAAAGAGACAAGCACAAAGACACTGAGAAGTCTGTCAGCACCTTAGTAATCATCCAGATAAGAGCTACCTTTGGAAACGGCAGACACACCTGGACAATAAGATGTCCTAAAGTGCGGAAGAATCCAAGGAGTAATTTATTTCTCAAAGGCAGCAATTGGGGGGGATTTAAGTGTTCAAACGCCTGCTGAAGATGAGCTTGACACATCCTACGGTCACAGGGTGACACGAGCAGTGTGCACACAGTCAACCGAACCTAACGGGAGGGCACACAGCATTGTGTTCAGCCATCAATTATCTTTAGCGCTTGCTAAAGAAATGTAAAATATAAATGACCATTTCAAAAACTCACAGAAAATCAAAAAAGTAAATGGCAAAACTGCGGGGAATTAAGTTCTTCCCAGCTTTTAGCACAGAGAACCCCAACCGCGGGGCCCAGGAGAACCAAGAGCCCCGCAGTCGTTTTCACTTTCTCTATGCATATTTTCCAAAAAAATGGATATAAATTTGTGCACCTCTCCTGCTGGGAGTTATCGCAGATTCCCGCTCTGGGTTTAAAATTACAGTTGAGATGTATTAAATGGAGAAGTACCAGGGAAATGGGTAAAGAAAGATGGGAATGCACTGTAAGCCTACAGACAAGAATACCATTCTGACTGCTGATAGTTTCCATCCAACTTCATTGAAAGCTTACCACTGAGCCAGTTACACAGACTTTGCAACACTGACAACGAAAATGATTTTAAAGGCTGAGCTCCGACTCGATAGATTTGGGCTTAAGGGGACATCCAGAGACACGCGGCTAAGGCAGGTTCATGATAAAGTAAGGAAACTAAAATCAAGATTCATTATTGCATATGCAAGTTCAAAGCAAGTGTCACACTAACCTTCACAGACTAATGCTAAAATGTATGAAAGGGCTCACAACCTGGCTAGTTAGTTGGTAATGTGTGGAGTGTTTGACACTTAAAAATTGCAAATTTTTATAAATTTACCACTCGGGAGGTAAATCTGGTCTCTTTTCCAGCATCATTTGAAAGAGGACTCCGCTTTAGGAAAACTTTCCCCCGGTATGTCAGCTCTCGGAATTGCCAACAATAAACTACCAGCCATTCGCACTTGACCAAGCAGCTGCGGTGTGAATCGCTGCTGCATCGTTACCCCTGATCTAAGGCGCAGCAGACAGGTAGCAGTTGTCACGAGACTCTCTAATACTCTGCTTCTCTGATCAAGAACACCGGTGCTTCTCAGACTTCATGAGAACGGAGGGCCTTGATCTACAGGGTGCCCAATCTGAACGGCTTGACATCCTCTACATCTACCCTCAAACCAAATCACCTGTTGCTGATGCCAAGCAGTCTCGGTATTTTTGTGCATCCTGTCATTTTTCCATAGAATTTGCATTTTCCAACATTTGCTTGGCTGCTTCTAACCTCTTTAAAAAAGACATTTTTTCATATAGGTATAATTATTGAATTGCTCTTTAGGCAACATCTAACACTTTAATACCTACTACTGGAAAAATACTGCATGAAGTTAAATTTAGAATTTAAATGAAAATCTTATTTTAAGAAACAGAAGCTTGTTTTTTTTGCCATTTGTGTAATATTAGATTTGCATTTGCAGAAGACTGTTTTTTCGTTGGCATGGAAACAAACAGGACAACTGAAAGCTGCTGGAAGATTAAAACCGAAATCTGCCAAAAACAGCCAGGCACACACACTTTTTCTTTTGACCATGGAGGGCCACCGTAGCAGCGAGTCAGCCTACCTGGGAGTCAGAGGGCTTGGCCAGTGTCACTCCCGCCCCGGCTTGGCTGAGGGTAGCGAGCCGGCTGGGCTGCCCTCGCAGGGTCACCGTGATGGTGGTGGGAGACTTCAGGCCAGCTGCCAACAAACAAGAGTTTAGGGACAGAAGAGTAAAACTTGTCCGCTCATCAAAGGTCACGGTGACACAGAATAGCTGTAGATATACAGCCGTACATGAAAGCATATAATTTTTAAACTGACCTCCATATCACGATCTGAGGGTTGTGATGAAATTATCCAGTTTTATTTTTAGTTATAACAAAACGACCTCATTTCTCCTACATCCAAAAAGGTCTTAAAATACAAAAAGCAGTACTTATATTGCTCATTTAATTCAATCAATTCAAAAAAACTAATTTTAAAATTTTAGTTTCGAAGTAGCAGGAACATCAGAAGAGGCACAGAATGACACTGCAGCTATAATTTGAAATAAATCAAAGCTGCAAGTCACGGTGCGGACATTACAGTCAAAAGTTTGGACACACCAAGTCACCTACAAAGAATTGTGGTGGTGTCAAATAACATGACTGGGCCACCTGACCGAAACAAAGAAAGAATGGTTTTGGAGGAGTTTGACCAGAGTGAAGGAAAAGCAGCCAGTGAATGCTCAGCATATACAGTGTATGTAAACTTTTGACTTTGAAGAAAGTAATAAAAAAAAATCTCAAAAAAATTCTCTCACACATTATTTTGACATTTAGCAAATAGAAATGATTTTGGGAGTCCGAACAGGCCTAAAACTGAAAGGGTTTTGTATGATTTAATATCAGACAGTAAGAAAAAAAAAAAGTTACATGTCTTTTTATACAGTGTATGTAAACTTTCGGTTTCAACTGTACGAGAGGCCTCCTTCAGGACGGCCGGAAAAGCATCACAGGAGGCCACCTCATGAAACTCCCTGGAGCAACTGGGATTAAGGGCCTTGCTCAAGGGCTCAATGGTGACATCACTACTGACACAGGATTTGAACCAGCAACCTTTGTTTTTAGTTTAATACTAAAATACAATGCACAATTTCATGTTATTTTATAGTGATGATGTCCTGAAAAGTTAAAATAGTACAAATAAACCTTTCTATGTGTAGGTGTGTCCAAACTCGGTTTGTAGGCGTTTACAAACTGAATCGGAAAACTGGGTTTGAAGGTATGAATTCGGACTGAATACTTGCATTTCACCCCTTAGTTACCAGAAGTCCTATCATGATCCAAAAGATATCTATTATTCAAATAAACATAAATACTCAACTATTTTTGAATTTGCACACAAACGATAATATGAATTCAGCACTTCTTCAGAAGGCTTGGTATGGGTCCGGCGTCACGGCGATAGGGGACGTGCGGCCTCGTACCGGCACTCTGGTTGGAGATGTGCGCCAGGCCCAGCTTGGCCAGCCCGCCGTTGGTCAGTAGCTGATGTATGGCGGTGGACTTGGTGGCGCTGGCGCCGCCTGTGGACACCACGGGTACTGCCCGCACTAAGGCGCTGCCGCCGGCGCCGGCCCCACCGATGGAGCCCAGGATCTGGGTCTGTGATGTCTTCCCCCCGGGACCCTGCGATGTGAACAAAAGAGCGACACGGCAGCATGTCTCCAGTCAGTATCTTACACTGGCCATCAGGAGGCGCTGCCGTTGAAGAGTCACAACCTCGATAAGATAAATACTAAAAGAAAAAATGTTTCGACCAGCATCTAATGCTATTTATGGCTGAGACACAGGCCAACTGATAAGAATTGAAGCCAACATCAGAACACTGCATCCAGTTCCCAGGGGGCATTAACCAGAGAGCCCCTAGCAGCAGCTCAAGCCCTTACGCACCCTTTCAGGCTTGGCAGAGAATGGGTTTGCATACAGATCCCCGGGATCCCCGTCACCTGAGCAGCTGAGGTGGCCGGCCGGTTCCAGGTGTAGGTGACCTGAGTGCCGCTGCTCAGGCCACTGGCCGCTGTGGAGGGCAGGCTGGGGGACCTCGTGGCCATTTCCTGGAGGCTGAAACTCAGGCCCTGCAGGAGGCTGCTGGCAGAGGGCGCTGTCAACAAAAAAAAAAACCACAGAGCCGTCATACCGCTGCAAAGCGCTCCTGCGACACACACGGCTACAACCACATGGGGGCAACAGAGGGGAGGGCGGCTCCTACCTTGGCTGCCCGCTGGGGTCTGTGCGTGGAGCAGGTTATGGTGTGAGGCAGGGGTCCCTCCCAGCGACACCCCAGGACTCAGAGCCCCAGACACCTCCGAGAGCCCCCCAGACCTGCAGCACCACATGGCAGCGGTAAGTACCAGCCCAGTGCCGCTCCCCCTCGCCCCAAAGACAGGCCACACCCACGTATTTAAGGCCACACCCCTACATCCCAACTTCATCAGTTACTGGCCATTTGTCCTGTTCAGGAAGCCCCATGTGGTGTCAGTCACACTCATTAGTAACCAAGACAATACCTGCCCTCCCCACCACCATCGGATACACTCGCATTCCCAGGGTACCTCTGTGTGGTGAGCAGTCCGGAGAGCTCCCTGGCTCCAGGGACAGTCTGTGTAACGCCGCTCAGTGCTTTGCCTGGTGTTCCTGCTATGGGGGGGAGGGCAAACATTCTCAATCAGAACATGTGACCTGGTTACCTGGGAAACAAGACCACAAGAAGCCACCTCTCCGCAAGATAAAGGGTTCCAATGTCGATGGCTATTTGGCACAAAAAAGATAATTACTGGCTGACAGGTTGGTATTAATTATCCGCAGCGACGATGGAGAGGAACACGGAACATGGTTGAGAAAGTTTTATACCCAACAGCTGATACAGCTGCTGGGGTCACAGATAAAGAGCCTGAATACGGAGATGCATCAGTTCATGCACCGGTCACATGAGCTTGTGGTGTAAAAGGTAAACTACAGCAGGCCGGGTTGGTGGAGGGGGATCACCTCCGGCACGCTCACCCTCAGAAGCATTGGAGATGCCGGCTCCCCCAGCTGTCTCGCCGTGGGAAAGGATGGTGACCTTGATTTTGGCTCTTTTGGAGGCCTTGGTGGGGGTAGGACTGGGGCTGGCTCTCCTCTTCAGATGGGTGCGCAGATCGTCGTGCTCCAGACCCTCGGCCTGCTCGCTGGAGACCGGCACTGCGGGACATAGATGGGCAGCCCATCACGCACTGGCGAGCGTACACCACAACGCTTCCAAACACACACACACACACACACACACACGTTTATCTCCTCAAAGCTTCCTAGCCTCTCTGGAATGCTAACAGACCTGCTACAATGCAAATGATAAAAGAAAGGATTCAACAAAGGCTGACACGATTAACGAGACACTTGGGTACCATCATCACCGATTTCACTGCCATTTCACTGCCATTTCACTGGCCACCTCACTGCGCTTTCCTCTCACCGAGCCAGGCATGGACGGCGAGTATACGAGAGCCAAAGAAAGACTTACAGAAGAGTAAAGGGGAGGGGTGAGCAGGGAGGGGGGGTAACTTACCCAGCAGGCAGGAGGGGGCGCCAGTGGGGAGGCTCTTCCTCATCAGCAGATTCTGCTTCATAAAAGCAGCAAACTGAGCTGATGGGGGTGGGGGGGGGACCCCACAAAGAGAGCCCCAAAGTGTTAAAGGGAGAGGCAAGACAGAGAACACCAAGTCAGAAAGGGAAAAGGGAGCGAGGAGGGGCACAGACCCGCCTTTACAAAGGGAAAAGGTATAGGTGGTCCTTGGCTAAGAGTCCTAACAGCCATTTAACCTTAAGCAGAGTCATAACTACTGTCCAAGTCAGCCAAACCAGTCAAGCTTTGCTTAAGCTGTGCAGCATTTCCCTGCCGACATATTTTCACAAGCAAGAGTGTCTGCAGTCATTGGTTTGACACTGTACCGTAGCATAGTAAATGGCAAGCAAAGAAAAAGGGAATGTTCTGGCAGTAGTACAGATTGTACCTCAGTACATTATGATGTTCGAGTCACGATCTGCCAATCGGAACCTAGCCCTGTCATAAGAACCAATTCGAGAACTTCTAGTTAAATCTGAAATCCAACAGCGATGGCTGAAGCACTGAGCATGTCAGAGTGAAAGGAAACTGTACAATGTTTTTAAATACTATTACTGTCAATGAAAATATTCACTTTGCTTAATATGACTGATTACATGTTCCATGTGAGTTAAACACTCAATTCATGTACAGTTATGGAAGCAGAAACAGTATCAATGAACAAGCCTGACACACAACTTGCACCTCTGCATGAGATACTGATCCCACAAACGAAACACACTCATTAAAATATTCGGAAAGGCGTGGCCACTGATCACCCCAAAAGACCTGGTGTCATCCCATGATGTGGCTGCCATTACACTAATCACAGTCTCCCATCCATCTCCTGTTCTCATCCTCTATTCCCGAACATTTAAGAGTCGGGATCAAGACAAGGTACAAGCTTGCTTAGGCAGCTATTTGTTTCTCAGATTCTTCTGTTCCGCCGGAAGACAAAACCATCAGTCCACGCCAAAACGTAAAAAGTCAAATGACAGCATGCACGGAAAACCACTTCACCAATTAATCCCCACTTGCTAAACAGGAGGCATTAAAACCCAGCAGGCGAGGCGGCGGCTTAAAGGGGCGGGGCCTACCCTGAGCTTGCCGGTGCGTGAGAAGGCCTCCAGATCGCTGCACGTGGGTCTTGAGCAGCTGTGTGGCTGTGATGAGGCTGGACTTCTGTGCCGGGGATAGAGCTGAGGCCCGCGGCTTGGGGCTGGAGGCTGGGCTGCTGGACACGCTGGACAGATCCTGGGGACAAGCAGGAGCACGGAATTATCAGGAAGCAGCGTATGTGGGCGGGCAGGCGTGCACACACAAAAAATCCCTACTGCACCTGAACACAGCCGCCTTTTATAAGGGTCTTTCAAATCAGCCAAAAATAAAATGAACCCTTATAAGCAATGGTCAGTGTTAGATTATACTATATAGCCAAGGTGTGTGGTGGGCTATACCATTTAGGTTTGTGTAAGTACACCCTGATATTCAGACAACTAAACTGTCTAATGAGGCATTTCTTAGACCGTATCCCCGTCATTAAGCAACGCATGACTGTAGAAACATTCAGTACAATGCGGTCTGACACCAAGCCGATTCATTCAGTAAACTGACTAAGCAGAGCATGTCTAGCATCCAGCAGCGGGCTGACCTCCGACCCCGAGGGGGACACGGGCACGCGGCTGGCCTGCGAGGAGCGCCCCCGCTCCAGCTCGAAGGACGGCTCGCGCCGGCTCTCTCGGGCCTGTTTCTTCTTCTTGCGCTTCTCTGTGTCCAGGTCCCCGGGCTCCATGCTGCCGTGCCCGTGGCTCTCAGCCCTGGTCAGCACGCCCGTCAGGAAGTCGGCGATCTCGTCCTGATGGGAGACCGGCGCCGGCGTTAGGCGTGTCACGCGACGGTCGCAGAAACTGTCAGCCAACCGGCACGTCACAAGAGCTCAGGGAACAGAACGTAGGGGAGACGGAGTGCTCAGGTCCACCGGCAAACAGTTGCCAGGTCCATTGATTACCCAGAACCGCCCCCCAATCCCATTCCCCACAGGCCCGTCCATTATCAGCCAGCCAAACCACTTCACTACTGCCGGCAACGTTTCACAAAATTTACATGATTAATTAAAACAGCAGGAGACCAGAAACAATGACACATGGATTGTGCTCCTTCTGAATGGGGGGGTGAATGGGTTAAGGAAGCCAGCTCTACCGGAGCCCTGGGTATAATGACGTCTGGCCCTGAAAATGACACCACCACTTATACTGTGACTGCCAATGTAACAGATAGAGATGAAGGCAAATCAAAGTTTATCAATGGGCACAAATTTTATGTTAAAATGAAATCTGATGTCTAAGGTCTCGTTAGCCTGTAGGGCTCATTAAAGCGGTGACATTAGCCAAAAATGAAGACCGACCAGACCCCCTTACACCCCCCAACCTGGATGCAGCGATCCACCATGGTCTGGGTCAGTCCCTCAGCCTTCATCTTCGTTGAGCTGATCCTGGGGGTGGGATAAAGTTAAGATGTTAAGAAGTGAACATCCCCCCCTCCCATCTGTGAAAATTCATGTTTATATGAAAAAGAATGGATGGCAAAAGAAATAGGAAAGGCTGGTTTTGGTTTCAGGCTGAAGCTCACCGAAGGTTGTCGTCCGCACCCCCCACAACCACCATGCTGTTGTCTGCTCGCAGCTTCTCACGGAAGTCCTCCATGGCCTCGGTGGAGCACTGCAGGGCCTTCTGACCAATCACAAAGAGCACCGGAGTCTTCATGTCCATCAGGGGGTCGTCCACATCCTGCCAGAAAGGACAAATCAATACACTACATACGTATGTAAAATGGGCCGATTGGACGGCCCTCCTGCTGGTACCCAGAGTGCTCTTCATGACCTGCATAAGTGCAGACGTTACTTTCCACAGCCAGAACATCTCCACATCAGCGCACACCGCTGTGATCGCGGCGTTTTCCTGCCCTCCCACCCAGGCTATGCATGTCCGGTCGCTCTCTGTTCCGTCTTCTCAGCCGGCTCGCTTTCCTGCATTTCATACCTCTCCCTTGTCAAAATCAAAAGAGCCCTATGATCAGACATGGCTTCTAGTTTTCTCCCTGTCAGTCCACTGCAGCTGGCTTGCTGACATTTTCAGATTCATTGCTGCCAACATCATCCCTCTAACCTCCGACCCAAGATGGTCGATAGCACCGGGCGACACGAATCACTAGCTGACCAAGTTAATCACAGCAGACCTGACTTGCTGGATTGTCATGGGCCAGAAAGTACTTGGTTTGTCCGTCGGTCACCAGAGGTGATTTTCTCTATCCTATGAAAAGGAGAATCAGAGAGCCGGAGTCCCCCCCCCCAAGGCTATAACAACAGGACTTGTTCCTGTTCAAATGAGTCAGAAGCCTTAACCAGCCTATAATTTAGATGTTCATTTTGTACAATTTTAGCACCGGCCGTATGTCATGCTGTTCGAACCCAAGCCGCGTCTGAGCCCCACGTCAGCTCAGGTATGGGGAGTAATGACAGGCCATCGGCAGGCGTATTTCTCTAAAGGACCCCACACTTTTCTCAGCTGCCCCATTATCCCACAATCCTCCACTGGTCAACCCATTTGGCGAGTAATTACATCGTTCAGGCTTCAGAAAACTGCATTAAAGGAAGAAAGACGTGCCCTCAAATAACACCAGACCATCACTCGGAGACCTGCAGAGTGCCGATTTCTGTATTAATACAAACTTCAGCATTAAGAGTTACGAAATTTCTCCCAGGCCTAGCTGGTATTTCAAGAATCATTAAACTCTCACCGTCCCTCAAGAGATTTTGCTGGAACAGTTTTGAAAACCCTGAACCCCACCCCCCGAGAATTTTCAATAATTCTAATTTTTGCAGCTGTTATTCGCAGTTGAGGACAACACTGCATTCAGGTTAGACAAAGCTCTGCCATTCGAGCCCATCCAGCAGCTGGTCGCTTGCCGCTCTTCTGCATTTACACACACCTTTCAAGGACGGAGATCAAGGAGCTTTTATCTTGCTGCTACCTTTAAGAGATCATCGACATCTCATTCATACCACAATAATATCCAGCCACTCTTCAATGGGCTGAGATGACAAACATACACTATAAGGTTAAGTGTGCAGACACTAGGTCTGTCACATTTACTCAATCAACTTATCGCACAATATATGAACAAGACCTCAATAATTTACAAAAAATGTTTTGTTCTATCCCTAGAAATAAAATTACTAAAACTTAAACTAAAATATATAACTAAATAGATTTGGATTGTTAAAATAAAAACTAATGAAACCACAGAGGAAATTAAAAATAAATTTCAAATGAAGGAAAAAAAAAAAAAAAAAAAATCTAAATGATAATAACACTGATGCAAAAGCTTAACAGGTATATGGTGTTGCAATCCAAGCATTTTATTTTAATTTGTAGCCATCTGGGATTCTTCATAACTCTGTAGTCAGTATCTCCAGACTTCCTCAGCCCACTTCTTTTCCAATCTGCTTACAGATTGCTTTAATTTTTATCATTCTGATCACCGAGGGTAGAAAAGGTATTTATGTTGATATATATTTGTTCCGATCTACTTTCTGACTTCATGAAAGTAAGATGAAGATGTGTTTTTTCTCTGACTAATACACAACTCCAGCTAGAAAGTTAGGAAGAATGAGTCAAAATGGACTTCAAAGCCACACTCCACATCTCAGACAATGGACTATTTTGGCTTCCTCCTGGAAGAAGCACTAGATGCATCGTCTGATCAATTTGAGCTATTTTAGTTGTATGGTTTTATTTGTTTTATTTTATATTTACTTCTTTTGCCATTCCACGTCCAATTTCAAATTCTATTGCTAAATAGAATTTGAAATTTGAATATTCCTAAATTTTCTTATGAATTAAAAATTAATTGCTCAGGTTTAGTACTGAGGTTGTGTAATCAGGTCTTTTTGCGAGCAAATGAACTTGCTCCCAGACATTTCTGCTTCACCTGCGGGCCTGTATCACAAAGCCAGATTTGTTGGTTCTCTAGATAATGTTGGATTTAAGATATACCAGAATAAATGTCATTTATCTTCGTGCACGCACTTATAAGCCAGGTAACCTTAAATCTGACGTTATCTTGCTAACCCAAAAATGCAGCTTCATGATAGACGGTGTCCAAGGATGCTCCGTCAGGGTTGAAATGTGGCAAACTGACTTGTTGGAAAGACGGCATCCACTCAGAAAGCCACCACCACCCATTCTGCTGCCAGAGTTTGTTTTTGGAGACTACATGGCTGTTTGCATAATTATGCACCTGTGACAGCAAAGGTTGTGGCTTAATTAGCTAGTTTCTCTAATTAATAGGAGTATCTAGCGGAACCAGCACATGACCAAGTAGAAGAATCTCAGAAGGCCTCACCCCCCGGGGCCCGTTGATGGTAAGCAGGGGGAATCCAAGGCACACGACCGCGGTTACGTACTCCATCAGGGATACCTGCGGAGACGTGAGAGACACACACACACGCTGAGTCACACACATAGACTTCCCTACAACCTAAACATGAGATACAATTACATTAGGAACACAAACAGCTATATTAACTTTATTTTAAATTATCACCCAAGAGTCGCTTCCCCACTAGGAGACGAGGCAGATGAGAGACAAAGAGGAGCAGGCGGGACTCACATGGCAGGCGATGAGCGCTCCGGTGTTCCAGCCCACCAGAACAATGGGCTTATGGGGGAAGTGACTGTGAACCTGGCCGTGAGATCAAAGCACCAGTCAGGGGTCACATAGGGTAATACATGGCATCTCAGGTTCCCCGCAAAGCAAACGTCATGTCAAAGAATAACTTCACTTGACATCTGAGAATATAACAAGAAGAATTGAGGGACAGAATCTGGAATTATTCCCGTGTGTATACGCTTGAAGTGAAATTGTACACATGGGGGGGGAGACAGGGCTTCTGCTGTGACCCATCATTAAGAGTCTACAAATCAGCCAGTTCATGCTCCTGCCTGTGAAGGCACAGACAGACACACAGTTCACACATGCTCACTGGCACGTCGATGTACTTTAACAGCTCATTACATACCCCATTCAAGAGGAAAAAAAAATAAAAAGCATACATCAGCATCTATTTCTTATAGATGCATATTTCCATGAAGTTTCCATAAAGCTTCCATCATAATGTATACCAACGTGACCCCCTCCCCCCCCCCCCGGATGACAAACTCACCTCTCGAACCTTGGCCCGCACGCCCCCGACCATGTGCTCCAGGCATTGTGTGATGCCCACATTGGTCCCGCTGTTCACCAGGTGGGTGGAGATGGGAATAACCTGGTAGGATGGCAAGCAGCCATGGTCAGAGGTCATGGTCATGGTCCCTCTATACCCAAACTGCGCAGATACTCCATTAAAGCAGCACTCCTCAAACCTTCTGGACCAGCCACCACTTCAGATCAAACTAGCAGCTTAATACCAGACTGGCCACAGCACCAGCCCATCTAATACAGCACAAGCTGAACCAATGTGACCTGACATGGACACCAAACGGACTTTTGAAATACACTGGTGTATGACATGTTCTCCAATTCTTCTACAAGCTGGACTAAATGGGCCTCATTCACCAACCGTTCTTACGAACAAATTTGTTCTTAAACCCCACGTACGCACTTTTTTACAAAGATTTTGACATTCACCAATGTTTTCTTATCTGAATTTGTTCTTAGCTAAGAACAGAATCTACGCACACTCAAGACCATTCGTACGCACATTTGAGCAATGTTAGTTTGTTCAAAATAATCGGTTATAGCAGTTTTGTTCATTCTACAGTTCATAAAATGAAAGTATTTGAATAATTTATAAAAGTAAAATATAAAAAATAACTTTAAAGTGTAAAAATTATTTTCATGGTAGTAACGGCGATCATGCGGATTATAAATAGGTCTGTTTCTGCGCATTGGCCTTGCTATCAAAATGGCATTTCTGTTACTTCTTGAAGAGCTTGCCAATCGCGCTCTGAGAAGGGAACGCATGTTTGAAGATCATTTAGATTTATTTGGCACACAGCGTTCACAGAGAAGGTGATATCTCTCCATGTATCAGCTTTCTTTGGGGCTTTATATCCACTGGTTACGGTACTAAATAACGTGTCTATTTGCATTTACCTCCTGTACAGTAAGATCCAGTTATAACGGACTTCAAGGGACCTGGCATAACAGTCCATTATATCCAAAGTCCGTTATATGCAGAGTTGCTGTATGCTCAGAACACAACTACAGGACACCATTTACTCATGCCACACCCCATTAAATTATTATAAATTATTATATTGTACAACTAGTAATCCAACTTTACCTCAGCAGATGCGTGACTATTAATAATCCCGACTACATATCTGCGCTGGATGAGGAGCCTGCGTTGTCCGTTATAGCCGAACAAAACTACAGCTTAAAGTGGCCCTGGGGACCAAATTGTTTGTCCGTTATAAGCGAAATTCCGTTAAATGCGAGTCCGCTATATGCTTTTCCTGCATGTTCTTAAAGGCGCACGGCCAGGACCAGCGGACCTCGTCCGTTATAGATGATATTCCGTTATAAGCGAGTCCACTATATCGGGATTTTACTGTATTAATACTTCTACTTCAGCATTACTGAAGTTTTTTTTCCTCTTAGTGCCAAGCGGCTGACAGCCTGCGCGTCTCTTCGCCATTCCTTGCACATGGCCCTACTGTCTCATGCCCTTTTATGGGAAATTGCAGGGCGTTTCCCTATGCTAATTAGGAGAAACTGGCACGTGCTTTCAGTTACAAAGACGTGGGATTTACTATTCTTAAGAACAAAGGTGCGAACAATTCTGCTACTTAAGAACATGTCATGAATCCGACGTAGGTTGTTCTTAAATTTCACAGGAACAAATTTAAGAGAATTCTTAAGAAAATATTGGTGAACAAGGCCCAATGATATAAAATTTCAAATACAGAGCTCTGAGCCCCAGAAACACAGTTTCCTCAGGCTGTTCACTGAGTCCAGACGTTAAAGAGAGAGAGAGTGAGTGGGTGGGTGGGTGTTACCTTGCCTAGGCAGGACAGCTGGGACTGCCAGAAACGGAGGCGGCGAGAGGTGGAGAAGGCCGGACTGCTGGGCCCAGAGGGAGTGATGAGGATCAGGGGCGAGCCGGGAAGCTTGCTCTGAAATCATGACACACACAGACAGATGGGGCGGCAAAGTCAGTATAATTTGAACAATTCTGTCCATCCGCTTCAGGACTCTGATCACCTGCTACTGGGCAGCAGGCAGCAATGATCCATCAAACTCCACAACACCACCCGCCTGACATGCCACCCCCCATCCCCCGCCAGAACACACCGGAAAGCAGCCTCCTCTTACAGTAAAATATGCTGCACTCTGTTCTAATTGCAAATATTCACCTGCCTGCCATCTGCATTTAGAGTGGAATCTTAAAATTTGGACTTTGTAAACCAGGATTTTGCTATCTTGTTCATTTGACCTCCTCTGCCAGGCCCTGGAGGATGGGCTCCCCCTTTGAGTCTGGCTCCTTCCTTCTAGTGAGTTTCTCCTTGCCACTGTCACCTATGGCTTGCACACTCTGGGCTTTGGGATAATGTAAAGCTCTTTGAGCCAATGCAATGCGGTGAAAATGCACTAGACAAATAAATTAGAATTTAATTATTTGTACAGAATTATTATTATTATTATTATTATTATCTTAAATATTTTTTGTATCACAATATTCAGTTACTTTTTGTGTTCTTTTTGCACTACATTTACTTTGGTTGACTGTGTATATTTGTTCTTTGTGTTTGGCACTATATGTGTGCTTGTCTGTGCTCTACGTACTTGCTGCTACATGCACCAGAATTTCCCTCTGGGATCAATAAAATTATCCCATTCTTAACATGTGCGCAATTCGCCCATGGATATTTGTTCATCCATTTGGGGCATAACCAACCCAGCCGTGTCAAGGGTCTCCCAGCGATCTTCCACACCCTATAACGCACCGGCTTGTTCTGGGACAGCACGCCCACGGCGGGGTCCCAAGGCCTCTTCAGGAGAAGGGAGAGGGCCTCTGTCCCTGTGGCCCCCGTCTTTACGGAGGAGGACAGCAGCATGCGGTCAATCAGCGTGGGCACCTGGGGAGGGAGATAGAATAAGGGACACTCAGACAGAAGGTGGTATCAGAAAAGGAGAACAGCATTCAATACAGGAGGAGGAGACACAGAAAGGAGGAGGAGAAACAGAAAGGAGGAGGAGACACAGCCAGATGGATGAATCAGATAGGAGGAGGGAAGGAATCCATAGAAACTGAGAAATGGCAAAAGAACTGTGGAGAACAAGCTTTCAAAAGGCAGGGGAAAAAAACTGAAAAGGGGAGGTACTTTCAATGGGAGAGTCCAGAGCAGGAAGAAGGAGCATTACTCAAATAAGGAGGCGCATCAGGGGAGGCAAGGAGGAAGGAAGAGGGACAGGAGGACAGGGCAGAAAATGAAGCCACAAATGTGAAAGGAAAGCAAGTAAGATGATATAATCATGACAAAGCTGACCAATTAGGATTGGGATAAAAGGAACTCCCAGCGCTGCCCCCACCCACCTTGCTCTTCAGAGTCTGCAGGACGTCCAGGTAGGCGGCGAGCATCGCCAGACTGAGCGCGTCCACTAGGGTGCAGTGGAGCCACTGCGTCAGCTTCGTATCCCAGCCGACGGCAGCCAGGGCGTGGCGCACCTTCCGGGCACACTTATCCACTGCGATCCGCCGCAGCACCGGCTCGTTACAAGCCTGTTATTTAGGATAAACAAAACTATAAAAACTCCAAGGTCCCACGCAAAGTCATCTGCTATTCACGGTCCTGCATAATACGGAGACAAAGCATTGGCTTTATTCCTGTTAGTCTAACTTCCCCATAAACCCTCATTTCAAAGTCAACTGTGAGTGACAGATAATTAGCGCTGCCGCTATTCTGGTGTCTGGGAGCTTTAAATTAGAGTGCCGTTGCCTGGCGACAGGCTACACTGACACATCTCTTCTTTCATCATTACCAACTTTTAATATTACTGGTAATTAGTCTGAAATCATATTAGATTTAATTACATTTTGCATAGAATTCTGTCCAAAGGAAAATACACCACAATCATGCTGCCGTCAAGGAGCCAATGAGGTGTAAGAGAAGCTAGACTGAGCTTCCAAAGAATGACCAGTAATTAGTGAAAGTTAACGAGTCATACAATGCTGCAAAACAGCGTAAGAAGCTAACAGGAGAGCTCAAAATCAAGAACTCAAAATGAATAACACCGTGAAGACTAGGTTCCTACGATACAAGAGTGCAGCATATGCACCAGAGAGCCCCGAGACAACTTACCCCCTCATTGGCCAGCCGGGCCTGTCGTTCAGCTTGCAGTGCCTTTAGGACCTTGTTGAAGAGTTTGTTCTGAGCCACGGACCAGCCTACCCTGAGACACAGTTGGGGGGGGGGGGGGGTGTAGAGGGGCAGGTTATTAACTGGCCAAGCTGTGCCAGTACAACTCTTCAGTAATGGACGGGCCACCAAAAGTATTGCCCTATACTGCACTAAAGGCCTGTTTATATTTCTCCACGTGCAGACACAAACGTGGGCTTATGACACGACTGATATAAACGTGGTTCTCTGAGGCCGAATGCTTGCAGCAACCAGACTTTGCATCTGAGCAGCCACTAACAACACTCATGCTCACCCAGGGAGTCTGTTTTGGAAAAATGTCCTTCCCTCCTCCCACTCATTTGGGTACTTTCAAATCTTTTTTCCGATACACTTTAATGAACCACTGAACATTTGATATAATAGCACATTGCATTTACATAAACATAAAATACAGGTCTTGTTTGCAAATATTTGGATTTATGAAGTATTTCCCCCCAAAATAAACGTTTTAATTAAAATTCTCTGTCCTCCTTTTCAATTAGAAATCCAAAATGTTTAAGATCTACTGTAAATTCTTCTATGACACGTGTGCATTGTGTAGACCACAGAAATATGAAAAGTTACATGTCCGTTTCACGTGTGCATGCGCAAATTACAGTCTGCATGCAGAGAACTATATCCTGAACTTTATAAATCAAGGCAGTCTGTTTGAAAAGCCACCACGTAAACCACACAACCAAAAACATCAGCAAAAGATGATAAATGCTCCAAAGTCTGACATCCCCAACTACTCCCAGTCACACCTGCAGAATCTCAGAGTTATTCAAACTTTATTCAAACTTTGAAATAAAAAAAAAAACAGAATCTTGGGCTTTATAATAAATGGTCACACAATGCAATAGTGTAGCAGTTTTTCACCAAAAAAACATTAAATACTAAAAACAGAAAGCAGCAGACTCACTTGTTGATGTGCTCTTCCCAGTCGTCCGGGGGCGGGGGGGCATCAGCCGCGGTGCGGGCGAACAGCACATGCCGCTCGCACTCGTTCATGACGCTGCGCGCCTTCTGGTTGTCGTACAGTGGCACGGCTGAGGGCGTGATGGTTTCCACATCGATGGCCGCGTCCGTCTCCCTGAAAGCAAAACAAAGACAATTAACTCATGTTAAATGTTAAATTCTGCATCAGATCTTGAATTAATTAGACCAATTACTGGATAAAGCTGGAAGCTGATCTACAGAACTTAAGAAGGTTGATTAGCCGGGAAAGACTTGGCCCAGATAACACCATATTCACCAGAATTGACCTTAGGTTCAAGGTTCCTTTATTATCATCAGAGGCTTCATACATGTACAAAGAGTGATGAAACGTTTCCCCATGGCCCCAGTGCAATATATAGCAACATATGGTAACATATAGTACACTTAACATTACAGTAACAGGGCATGCAAGGTGCAAACAGGCAGTAAATAAATAGTGCAGAGATGTAAACTTCGTAAGTAGTCAGTGACCTTAGTCAATGAACCCCAGTTCTGAAAGAACATTAAGCTGTCAGGTCCTAGCCCAATCTGATCTGACCAGAGCAGCAGCAAAGCAAACACATATACCAGAGCCATAAGGCTACCACAGTTCACATACTCAACGAATGCTAAAGCAGGCCCAGACAATTATTTTTGGTGAAGGGTGCAATCAGAGCTTCTCCAGGACAGTTAGGGCCATTTTTAAATCCATCCATTCATCCATTTTCAGTAGGTGATGTGACAATGACTTGTGGTAACCAGCTGCAACTGTATCTATGAAGTTTCAGAGTCATCACAAGAATCACGAAGAGCACTACTTAACATTATTATTTTGATGACAGCGGGTGCTTAACATGTGATGCCAACGTTTTTAAGAGTAGCTTTCAGTACCGGAACCCAGTGTGGTCAGTATGTATTGGATCATATTGCAACACAGATTTCGGTACCACTTCAATGCCTGACCTCATATTTAAAATTAAACTAAAAGTGCAAGCACGACATGAAAACTAAACTGAAATGAAAACGACAAACTCCAAAAGTAACAAATAAAATAGAAAACTGAAAACTGGCAATTTCTATTTTCCATTCTCTTTTTGAGTTTAACAACCTGCCTATAGGCTACTAGCTACCAGATATTCCTCCTCTAAATGACTGACAGTGAGCAAAGTCTATGATAAGCATCTCAAACAGACAAAATTATATATGCCCTCGCAAAATTAAACCAAGTTTCAAGTGACGTGATTAGGGCAACACTGAAAATGATGAAAGCTCACAGTTTATCAGTTAAAATATTGGTGCCAGAAGGCATTAGTTAAAAAAATTAAGATACTGACATCGGTCTGATGTGTCTTTATTGGCTGATATTTAAATTATCAATATTCAAAGTTGGCACCACCAGAGCTAAAGACGTTAGCGGCTACAACAATGGAGATGACTGCACTGGACAATCGGCCATTTTCCATTGTGGAAAACGAAGGATGTCATCAGCTCGTTCAACTAGGCCACATAGTACTAGCCCACAAAATGTTTATGTTTTATTATGAAATCTGGCTGCCAGATCAATCTTTTGTTTTCAAGAGAACAAAAAAACACCCTAAGGTAATTTTCCTAATCTGTGCCAGCAAGTTTCATTGCCGTTCACCGTAAGAGTTAAGATAATACATGCTCCTCTTCCCCCTGCAAAGATTTGACTTCCACCACTTCCCCTTGAAGATTGTTGGTAACACTCTCTGTGAATGCCATGTGTATAAGAATCTACAAACATGTTCGTAACACATAATAATGCATTCATGAATGCTTTATGAAGCTCTCATCGATAATGCACTATAAATACCTTCATTATGCAGTACAAAGTATCCTTAATTCTTATACCAACCAATATAAAGTATCTAGAGTGCATTATAACAGCTTAATTGGAACTTATGAAGCATTATAATCAACAATATAATGCCTTATGACTGTCAATAGAAAACACTGTAATTTTCCATTAATTCTTATCAACCACTGTAATTAATCATAAAAGTATATATAGTGCATTACAGATGACAGCTTCATGTAACAGGTTACCATATTTTTAAACTTCACCACTGGGGATGACAAGCAGGTTGTGTGAATTGCCGGCTTTTACACTGCCAGCTGCTGCTAGAGTTTATGGTCTGCTCCTTGAACAGATGGATACTGCAACAACATGATAGAGAAAAGTGTTGCAAATATATATATAAATATATATATTTTTCTGACAGAAATTGCAATTACGATTTGATTTGCAATTTAATTTTTTTATGCCACGCTTCAGTTCAATATTCAGTGTGTAGTAATTTTAAAACATGACGCAGCATGAGATACCATCAGTTTTAACTGGTCTATATTCTAATGCAAGGATGAGAATTTAAAGATGTCATGTGTTAAGTTAAATAAAGTAATAATGATAACAATTGCAGCAAAAAGAAAAATAGCGATCTTGCAGGTAACGCGTATTACCCTCCTAATAACACTAGAACCGTCTTTTCCCACGCCAATGAACAAGCAAGAATTACTTTGGTGTATGCAGCCCTTTTGTTTGCGCTATTGTGTTGTTAGCTGCTGTTATTAACACTAATAACACTCAAAAAATGTTGAATAAATAGAAGTAGTTTATTGGTGATTTCATGTTGGTCGAAGTTTCCGCTTTTTAACAACTGTATATGGTTATTTTCTATACAAATCAATTCAGGTGAAACAAAAAATGTACGTGTTCATGGTTGCAAACTCAGACTCTCACGCAAGAAATCTTACGGCAAATCTATATTCCATTACTTAAAATTAGCTGCATCAAAAACGTTACGGCAGTTTGCAAACCTTACAGACTATTTCCAAGGTAATAAAACTTACATACATGTAAATGTGTGTGCAGAACAGAGAACAGAAAATCTCACTCCATGCAGCTGACCAAAGCTGCCAATCCTGAATTTTATTTTAAATGAAAAGTAAAATGCAGATTTTGACTGAAGCATCTTATCATTCCTTTGCTTTGTTACTCGGACAAATACAAAACGAATGATTAAACATTATATGCATCTCTTTTTGTATGTTGTCTAAATAAGACCGCGTATCCATGCCCAACTGTAATATCGATTAAAGCGATCTATTCTTTTAGTATTTATGTTAAAGCAAGACTTTTATTTTATTACTGTTGTGGGATTAATCTTTGAAAACACTTAAATTTAATAAGCAGAAAAAATATGACAAACACGACTGTATGCATTGTGGGTTTTACGGCTTTTTTGGAGGTCACCTACTCGTCTCGACTGTCTCGTTGTTTTGATGGGTTAGCGGTATACTAATGCTATTGCCTATTAACAAAAAACAAAGGTATGATACGCTGAAGTATATTGCAGCTGGTGTTCAAAAGGAGCTTGCCGGTTCTACTGATGATAGGACCTTTCTGAAACAATATCGGAGCATGAAATAGGAAGGCAATTCACTTATAGCTAAGTAGCAAAATCAGTATTTTTCCGCACTGCGAATGTAACATTTTCCTTGGGTTTCACGTGCTTGCTGTTTGTGGGCCTATATGCCTTCTTGGACCACTTCTGATTGGTGAGCATGACTGGCACGCGAGAAGCACGGCGTTTGTGATTGGTGAGAATGACTGTCACACAGGGAGCACGGCATGAATTTGTAAAACTATTCTCACAGCAGTTTTAAACCCTGGGTCCCACGTGCTGTATAATGTATATCCTAAATCGCAATTTTTGCGACTTGCTAATCGTGTTGTTTCAAATCGCGATTTCGATTTGAAATAGATAAATCGTCCAGCCCTACTGTAGGGCAAGGATACTCAGTCAGCAGACTGCAATCAGTTCAAGTCAGTTTCCTTATGCACAGAATTTTACATACCTATTTTTAAATTAGATACTTCATTTTTATTTACCAAACATATTATACAAAATTAAGCTTATTATTATTGCCACAACAGTGGTTCTAGTAAAGATAGGATTGCTGATTAAATTGTTAGTTAATTAACATTAATTTAATTTAACCTTTATTGTCCCTCATGGGGAAATTCTTTTTACGCCTCCATCAACTTGCTCTTTGTAGAACAAGCTGTCTGCGAAGGGCAGCCACCTGTTGGGGCGCCCAGGGAGCTGGGGGTTAAGGGCCTTGCTCAAGGACTACACACATTCCAATTTGGTTGGTTTGTAAACAATCGTGGATCATGATTCTAAACAAAAATATTGTTGACATTTTGGCCATATCACTCATTCCTATCTGCAATTATCCATGGAACTTGATTGTGCGGGCCAGCAAAAACAGCTCCGCGGTTCAACGTTTGCCCAGGTCAGCATTAGTGTATGGAGTACAATGCGAGTGGGCAACCAGAGATCCCCAGGGCAAAGGTATCAAACTCCACAGCAGCACAAATCACCTGCTGAATAGGTCACTGATAACAGTTTATATCCAAATACTTAATTGCAGTGATCAATTAGAGCAAAGAACAGCCCCAGCTTCCCCCCTCCCAACCCCACCCCAAGCCTGAGGTGTGGCATCACTCACACAGAGGTATCCTGGTGCCGCCGTGGAGTCACAAACAGCATGCGTGTGGGCCGGGCACTGCTGGCATCTGGGTGGGAGCTCCAGGGCTTGGCGTAGCTGTGGTCCAGGTACACAAGGTCCAGCTCGCGTTCGTGCACTGACAGCTGGAAGAGCAGCGAGGTGCCCATCCTCCTCGCCGACGTCTGGAAGTCCCTCTCCCCACTGCGGTACATTTCCGCCAGGTTGGTCAGGGGAGAGGGGGTTGTGGATCCTTGGGTGCTGCACTGTGCACCCTAATAACAGGCCTGATCTGTGGATAAACACACACATGTAAGCAACGGCTTAACCACCACATCCAACGTGATCGTCTTAATATTACGTGACGTAGATGGCTGCCTGCATCTGTATCACAGCCCTGTTATCAGCCACTAACATCCCATCAACTGACAACAACTTATTAATTTTATTAAACACGCAGCGTGCAGACTGAAACCCTGGTGACATGCCACATTCCGCGCACCTCTTGTTCGACTATTAAACTGCAAACATAAAAACCACAGTTTTACCAAATATCCCAACAGAAAACTTTCATTAACCGACTAACTGCGATGAACATATCATTAAACGACCCGCTAGCAGCAGCCTGTAGATTAAATTAGCGACATAAGTAGTATATAAACTGGCAGAAAATGGTCAGTAAGACGACAAAAAGTTTGACAATTATGTGAACCACGAAGGCGTACGGAACAAAGGCACGGCTGCTAACCTGCGTAACAGGCAAAGCGTTTTACCCACCGTACCTCTTGGAAGGTGTACCGGGCGCCGAGCGGGAATTTCCCATAAATATATATTTTTTACTAATTGCTACGCTGGCGCAAATAAACCTGCAAAATGCAGCTAAATATTCACAGGGGCAGGCTGTTCTGGAGAAAGATACCCAACAAAGCCTCAACCACGCCAGCATTTACACTTACAGATGTTATTCATGATGTCCGTTTTAATCCCTCTTTTATTCGTTACAGTGGAAGTAAATTCAAGGGGGAAACGGTTATTTAATCTAATGTAACAATAACCAGAAATACAATCAACACCAGCAGACATTACAACCAGGGAGGGCGCGCCATCACCCAAACCGCCGCACCCCGGCTGTATCCACCTAGGAAAGTCCGCGGTCTCTCCCGCGGCCTGCAATTCAAGCCGGCGGTTTCCCAAATTGTGCCCAAGGGAGCCCGCTTGGACTTACGCGGGATGGCGCCCTGTAAACATCGAAAGCGAAGAAGCCGACAGAAAGCAAAGAAGACAAAAAGGAGCAGTGAAATGCGGAAAGGTCCGAGAAAGGTGCTCAAAGTGCGGATTAAAAGACCGCGTTTCAGTCCTTACCTCCTCGTGGCGTAGCCACCTACAAGTTACGTCATTGTGCTCCAAACGTTATTTCAGGGACAGAAAAAATACCAATTCACTGCATTTGATACACAGGACATCTGTTAATGTTTACATAACACACGTTATTTCAGCCGGCCGCCACCCTTTATGTCATACAAAAAAAACGTCCTGTTTCCGTTTTTTTCTTACAAGCGCGCCACAACACTTTCGTTATCTTAAAACCCGGACTGGATCACGAACAGGGCTTTAAACCCCGAAAGGAAAACCCGCGATGGATCACGGCTGAAGTGGAAAGGAATCGGGTATACTGCTCAACCAGTAGCGGATGGTGATTTTTTTTTTTAATGAGGGAAGCACAATGTCGACCGTAAGCAGAATGACCAGAAAAGTTCTTACCTTCTTATTTTAATCGATCAGCTACTTATGTGTAAATTCTGCTCTCTTTATTTTTGTAAGAATAATATATAATGTAAGAAATGATCTAGTACCCTGTCATACCAGCATGGCTGTTTCTCTAGCGATTTGGCCATTTTGCTTACGCACCCAGCAAACAGTAATACATCTTTAGGACTTAGTAGTCCGGCCTGGATGACCACCTCAGTGGACGTTCTTAGGACATCCAAATGTAATGCTTTTTTTACGTCTAGAGGGTGACTTTATAAGGGACGTATATTATGGGCTTTTTAAGGACATTCTCAGGATCAATACTGGACATTCTGAGAACATTTATGGACATCAAACCCATGTAAATCCCTGTTAGTACAAAATTAATATTTAACATTGTAGCATTAAAGCAAGGGAAATAAATAAGGGACAGCTAGAGGGCGTCTCTCGGACGGCCGCATCACGTCCCCTCTTCGGTAGGGTTGCAAGCTCCAACGCATCTGGCGTGACACTCAACCACGCTTTTAGTTATATCTAACGCAAATCTATGAAATTCCATTATGAACCTAAGATTACCTACATCAGAAACGTTGGGGTAGTTCGCAAACCCTATAGACTACTTACAATGTAATAAAACCGTTACATACATGTAAATGCGTGCGCATGTGTGTGCAGACTGCGCAAAATGAAAATCTCACGCCAGCCAGGTGACCATAGCTTTTGGGGGGCGTCCGTAGGACTACTGTGAAAAATAAAGAGATCTTTCAAAAACAATTTATTATGACAGCTTGCAGGAATAGCATTTAAATATATGTAATTTTATCTTTCATTACATGTTAATGTTCCATTAGCAGGCACGTGCAGAGGGGGGGGGCGGAGGGTGCTTGAGCACCCGCCCCTTTCCTCCAGGATGCCTCAAGTGCCCTTTTCTTGGGTTTTTTTTGTTGTTGTTGTTGTTTTTTTTTTTTTTTTAATGTGTATGTGCGTATGGAGACCTATCTTTGCCCCTCAACAATAAAATGTAACTATTAATCTCAATTTTGCTAAATAAAAGGATCTGGCTTGCATCAGTCACATGACTGCCATTAACCAATGCTCGCCCTTGAGGGCAGAGCGCGCTCGTTACGAACCGGGTACGAGCTCGCAAAGTGCACGCGCATTTTCTGCAGGCTGGGTGGTGCGGAGCTGGAGGAGAAGCAGGCAAATTAATTGGAAGGTGCGGACTGCAACAAAACAGTAAATATGGTGTACAGCGCACACTATAGTCTATAACAACAAATGAATTGAAATAAATGAGCGTGCTGTTTGTGCAACAGCGCGACAAACATTACCTGTCCTTTTATGAACTGCACAAGTAGTGGTGGTCATTAACTGCTAGCTAACTGGGTAAGGGTGTTACAAGGGGGTCTGTAGCTCTGTCCACCGTTTTAGGGAACATGTTTTGTTTTAAAGTAAGTTACAGGACTTTTCCCTTCTTTTCTGGAGGGCTTTTATTTAACTAAAAACGATCTAATATGGATATCCACATAATTCCATATTAGATTCGTCATGAATGTGAGTTGTTATTCAGTCTGTTCTATCATTTTTAATTTGAACACCCGCCCCTTTAAACGTCTCTGCACGGCCCTGTCCATTAGGATGTCCAGAGGACAGCCATAAGATATCATTTTATTTCGACCTTCTCTGAAAAAGTTGTTTAAAGTCTGTTTAAATATAATAGTTAAAAACAATAGCAATGTTCTTTCAACATTGATTGAAACGCAGATAAATACAATATTGTAGCACATAGCGGAGCCTAGTAACAGGAGCATGCTAGGAAAACTGTAAATAGCCCCTGTGTGTGTGTGTATGTGGTGTTGTTGTTAATACTTGCTGTGCTGGCAATTGTTCTTGTGCTGTTGCGTTTGTATTGCGCGAACCTTAACTGATCCGCCCGTGCCTTTAGTCGTTGTGTAAATTACCCACCCTGTGTGTGCTCTATTCTCCGGCGTCCAACCTCCTACTTTACGGAGTGTTCTATGTACTAGTGATGGGATTTATAGCTCTTTGAGGGGATCCGGATCTTGGCGATTCGTTCCTTTCAAAGAGCCATTCAAAAGAACGGCTCTTTTGGCTCTTTTTAAATATTTAGTCAGTTTTAAGAAGCCAGCTTTGGGGCATCTCAGTTTATCCTGGAAATAATCACTGGGAGGAATGATGAGGTGAGATTTGTAGTCAAATAATTAAAACTCAGATATCACACACCAATATCTGAGTTTGAATTATTCTGAAATATTGATTATTACCTCATTTGTCATGTGTGGACTATATTCCATAGGGTTGCACAACTAGGGTTGCCACCCGTCCTTTAAAATACGGAATCGTCCCGTATTTGAGAATGAAATTGCGCGTCCCGTTTTGAATCAATACAGGACGGGTTTTGTCCCGTATTTTTTTTATCATTTTTTTAAAGCAGCGTCTCATGCAAATCATCCCACACGCATTTTATGAAGATGCCTCCTTTCCTACTTTTGATTGGGTAATACTTGATGTCATCGTTAGTTTGATTGGTCTTTTTAACTGTCCAGTGAGGAGGGCGGGTCTTTTAAGTAGAGTCTGCAAAGTGTTGGCAGAGAGTAATATTAAAAAAATGGCAGGTGCTTCTCCAGGTAACCCCCCGCGTCTTAAAGTTTCAGAGCTTAAACGCAAGCGGCTGCAAAAATGCCGCAGAGAGTGGGAGGAAACAAATACTTGGCTGCAGAGTGTTAGCGGAAATTGTTATCAAGCCAACTGCACAATTTGTCGGAGAGCGTTCTCTGTGGCTCATGGTGGTCTGTCAGACGTGCAACAACATGCCTCCGGAGAGCAGCATTCCCGCAATGACAGAGCTCACAAAAATCAAAGCACAGTCAGACAGTTCTTCGTACCCCAAGTCTCTCCCGAAGCAGACATGGTAATGACAGTATAATTATTATCAACAATATTCATTAATTAATTAATTGCTAAATAATGTTAAAAATGTGACCCAGTCTGTGAAAACCTAGCTGGAGTCATTTTTTTTTTTTGTAATTTACTGTTTTCTACATGAAATAAAGAACAGTCTGTGAAAATAAAAAAAATCAATGTATTTAAAATTAACTGAGTAAAACCATGTCAACAACTGAAATCACAGTGAAATGAATTATGGCTAAAATCAAACTTTATCTCAGAATTAGATTTGGCCTGGTTTTCACACACTGGGTCACAAATTGTAATTTGTAAAAATTCTGTAAATACAATGTAAGTGGATCACATTCCAATGTAATATTATGATTTGTTAAGGTTAAGTCAGACACATAAGCATTAATTTATT